TCATATAGAATTGATGCCGAGAGTATTAGTTTGAAGCATATGGGTCTACTGTAGGTATGAATCCAGGTTTTTATATTTATGGGAGGGGTGCTCAAGCCAAGCTACTAATCACTGTGACCCTCAGTTTTGTCACCAGAAAACAGAGGGCTATTACACCTAATAAAGAAACAAAATGATTTGAAATAAAAGCATAAGGCAGACAATAAATTTGCCTTTTCCTATTTAGGATAATAAAGTGAGTTATACTCTATTATTTTTCCTTTAAAAAGTCCATTTTAGCTACTTTGATCAAAGCAGAAGACTAGACATAAAAAGTTACTGAGTTTTAGAATATTATCATTAATAAAATCTTTCAATTTGTATTTATCACTCTTTAAAGGCTCCTATTATATTCTAAAACTTGATTTATTCCTAATAACTTTTATTGTGTATCTGTTAAGCTCTAGTAATAAACTAAGCATCTTGCTGGTTAGTTATGCTTTAAAAATATTATAGTAAAAAATCTACAGAGGTTAAAAAGGGAAAGAACAATGAGTCTTACAAGTAAGAACATTCACACCCATTGCATCTTAAAAATGCTTCATATTTTGGGGCCAACAGATGGTGTGGGTAGTTATGATTGACTGCAGTTTGAGTCCCGGAGCTAGTGACTAGCTTCCTCACTTTCTCTCTCTCTCTCTCTCTCTCTCTCTCTCTCTCTTTCTCTCTCTGTCTCTCTCTGATCAAGTTAAAGAAAAATGAATACAATTAAATAAAATAATTCTTGGGACCAGCAGTTAGAGTATGTTGCTGGACTCCCATGTAGTCGACCGCGGTTTGAGTGTCAGACCTGCTGGCTTAAACTCATGTTGGGCGCATGTGCGTGCATGCCCAAGATCCCAAGAGGAGAATAGAGGAGAAGGGATTGTGGCATGGCCATCCCCCCTGGGGGGTGATTTCTCACGTTCTGTCTCTCTGTCTCTTTCTGTCTTTTTGGTGAGTGCATGTGCCCTATAGCAAAAACTTCTCCAAAATAAATAAATAAATAAATAAAAATTCTTTTAAAACACTTGATATTTCTTTCATTTACCAGAAACTGAAAAAAAAAAAAGAAAAGAAAAGAAAAAGAATGCTATCTGAATCTACTTGCAGATGCTCTGCTATGGCTCATCTTCAGAAAGGGTAGGTGAGACAAAGGCGGTAGCCCACAGACTACAAATTTTTCTGATTCAAGCCACATCGACCCAACAGTTCCGTTGTGCCAGGCATTTCTGGAAAGAGAAGTCATCTGGTACAGGTTCAAACTATTTTGCTGAAGCCCATCCGACAGTGTCCCTGCCTTGGTAAACACTTTGAAACCATTTTCATGGTGGCTCATAGGTAAGAGTTCAGAACTTAATACTCTGAATAGGCAGAGATGGTCATTCCCTGAATTGATACTCACATAGCAAAGTATTAAATTTTCTATCTGAGCAGTCACTCAACTTTTTTGACCAAAAATCTCCCATTTAAGAAAAAACTTCTGTCAGCCACTCTGTCTTGTAGTCTCTGTTTCCCACGTGAACGAGCTCTGGGCCTTCCTACTACCTGACTGTATTTGCGGGTGCTCTTTCCTGGACTTGACATCTCCCCACGAGCTAATGAAGCACGAAGTGTCGGCCAGATCTTGGCTCAGGTGTCACTTTCCCAACTTCAGCTGCTCACACACTCACCTCTACCACACAAGTCAGACAGCCCTTCATTATGAGGTCTTATCGCTCTGAGTCGCCTTCTTTGGCAACATAGAGCTTGCCAGATTCACTCCTTGATGTATTAATTAATGCATATTTTCCCAGTAGACTGTACATTCCATGTGTGCACAGTGCTTTTCTCATCGTTAGAACACCAGGCATTACATTAGCGCAGTGACTAATATAGGATATTTATTCAATAATATTCTAAATGGGTGAAGTGAATACGATAAATTTTAAAAAGAGAATAAACTGTTTTAGAGAGCAAACGGAGACAAGCTCTTCCCATTCTGCTTTCAACCCAGACACTCTTTTCTGACCCTGCAGTTTTATTTCTTAGATAGTAAGGAGATTTGTTAAAAATCTGTTCTTCCATTTTCTAGCAACAGAATAACTATACATGAATAAAACACATACACGTACACTCACATAACACACACACACACACACACACACACACACAGGTACTTCAAAAAGTTCATGAAAAGTGGAATTATACTGTGAGTTTAATGCAAAAAAAAAAATGAAATCCATGGGTAGGCTTTTATTTATGGTTTGGGAGGAGGTATGTTTGGGGTTTTTTTCGCTTGTTTTTGTTTAGATTTTTGTGATAGGGTGCATACTCTGGCTAGACAGAGACAGAGATAGGGAAAGTGGTAAATTACTCCCTGGGGGGATAGACACATCACAATCCCTTCTCCTCCATTCTCCTGTCAGGATTTTGGGCATACACGCACATGCACTCAGCAAGATGTTCAAGCCACCAGGTCCGGGACTTGAACTGTGGTCAGCCATTTGGGAGTCCAGCACCTTCACCTCCATGCTACCTACTGACCTCCACACATAGTTTTTTATGGCACACATTTGCCATGAACTTTTTGAAGACTCTTTCATTTATGTCATTAATATGTGCATGTACATAAGTGCACCTTAAAAATCACTGTAACTACAAGAAATATTGTATTCATTCATAATGAAAAGGAAGAGAAATAAGTATTTTATTAATTGAAAAAATCAACAACTATATTTTAATGAAAGAAGACCATAGCTTAAAGTGAGGAACAGAACAACTGAGAAGTATATAGGCAATTATTGGTTAGACTCAGGCAACATGAAGTCTCTATAAAAAAAGAATTTACATGTAAAACTACACTGCCAACTCTTCTGAAGAGAGGGTATTTCTTCTTCCACTGAAAGATTATCATTCGATCTCTCTTCTTGTTCTTTCTACGACAGTACTTATTTGTTTACTCATTCACTGATAAAATGTACAGGGACCAGCAGTTAGTGTAATGGCTATGTCACTGTACTCCCATGTAGTCGACCGGGGTTCGAGTCCCAGACCCGGTGGCTTAAACTCACGCCGGGCGCATGTGCATGTGTGCCCAAGATCCCGAGAGGAGAATGGAGGAGAAGGGATTGCAGGGTGTCCATCCCCTCTGAGGGGTGATTTCGCATTTTCTTTCTCTCTGTCTCTGTCTGTCTCTCTGGTGAGTGCATGCACCCTATAGCAAAAATAAAAAAAAAAAAGATGTACAGCAGTGTGTTTGGAAACACAAATTGTAGACCATTCAAATAGTGTGAAATCGGTTTAGTGAGTCACAAGCAGCATTTCTAACAAATGAAGTAGAATTTTGAAGACATTCTATTTCAAGCAAACAGCAAAACTATTTTGTTCTTATTTTGTGTCAGCTTTGCATATCTACTAGGCATGTGCCAGGGTGGAAGGTAACATGTATTTTTCGACATGGATAATGGTCAAAAATAAATAAATAAATAAATAAATAAATAATGAAAAAAAGAAAGAAAAAAAAAGAAAGCCAGTGCTATAGAGAACAGCCACTATTACAGCTGTTCTAAAGTCAGATATATCAATAAGCCTGCCTGGCTCTTAAAAGAAGTTTACCTAAACATTGTAAGCTTCCATTTTATCTTCTACCTAATGCAGTAATAATACAGATCCTCAGAGAAACAAATAATAATAATGTCAAATATATAAATATATAAAATAACAGTATAAAATAATGACTGATATTTGAGACCTTGCCATGTCACAACTAACATCTTACGTAATCTGTTAAACAATCTAAAATGTAAGTACGCTAAAGCTTATTTTGTAGGAATGGAAGCTGAGGCAGTAAGAATTTAAGTAAAAGTCTTAATGAATGTATCTCAATGATTTGCACATAACAAATGGACACTCTCATTATTATTTACCAGCAGTCTACTTTAATATGTTGCACCTACCAAAGGAGTTCTCCAAATATTTGGAGATGGATGAAAGACAGTACGTGAACTCAGAGAACTGTTCACACCAAGCTAAACAGTAAAACGCACTAGGAACTTAAGTAGGGTAGAAATTCTTCTGAACTATGCCCATTAATGAAAGTTTGGGGAGAAAGAAGACTCTTGGGCAAGATCTTCACTGACAAAAAGGCTCTCTATAGGTGGAGGGGAACAGTAAAGGCATAGCCAAGGCCCAGGAACAGAAAATAATGAATATGCAGGCTGGTACTAGATCTGTAGAGAGGTCATTGAGCACTAGTTTAAGGAGACTATATTTTTATCTTGTAGCTCAAAGAAAAGCACTGAAGACTGTAATAAGTGACTAATGATAAAGCTGTAATCATTAAAACTACATAATAACTTCCAAATAATTATAGCTTAAAAAATGATGTTTTTTTGACATGACGACTATTGATTTTTCCAATCTTATAGGTAGAAAGCTAATATAATTTTAAGGGAAATTACGGGAATTAATAAAACATTTGTTAAACTCTAGGGCTTCCTAAAATATCCTCTTATACAAGTACAGATGATGTTATTATAGTTGCTATCTCATAAAGTACTTTATGTTGTACGGGACTTTCTGCATAGTTATGTTTTATTTTGATAATTGCATTTTTCAGGTTTCAGTAATTGACAAGATTATTTATATGATTTCTGAATTGCTCCAATGAATTATGGAGATTAATTATATAGGTTATATCAGAAAAGTATACCCACATATCCATTCTCTTCCCTATTTGATCCTTAATCTCCTCATATTTTTTTTTATTAGGTATATGCTGAGACACAGAAGCAAGATAGTATGTTGTCAATTCTTATATGACAAACTATCTGTTGAATTTTTTTCCTCTTGATTTCAAATTTCTGTACCCAGCTGTTCTTAAATGTATATAATAAACAGACTCATAAAAATAAATTTAATAAAACAACTAAAACTTAAAAATGTTTAAAACGCTAGAAGTCAAATGGCATTGCAAATTTTTTAAAAATTAAAAAAGTAACCTTCTGAAAATTAAGTCCTTGTGCCCAGGAACAATTCTTAGGATTTGGAACATCTTCCCAAAACAGCTTTTTCATTCTACAAAGGATAAACAAAGTATCAAAAAAACGTTCATACTGAAAACGTTAACAGCCAAAAATATGCATTTTCACATGCTGTCCCACAAAAATTTCCACCAAACTTCTATTTAGACCTGAGTTAATCATTATTGTAATAATAAAAATAGCCAACACTTGTTGAAAGCTTGTGTCAAGCACTGTGCTAAACGCTTTGCATAGATTTTCATCAGAAAAAATAAGGTATTAAAAATGGCCATTAAGGGGATATAAGAAACAATTTACTTAATATGGCCCCATCAACTCACTTGACTAACAGATAAATTCGAATTCTAAACTCTCCTCTCCTTTTTTGCTAGAAGATAAAAGTTGCTACAGAGATTTGGCATGTGTAAAACAACCTCAAAAGTCTGGACTTGTCAGAAGAGTCATGTGGCACCTGCAGAACCATTCAGGGCATGCAAGGCCATTTGACTGACATCCAGACTGATTGGAGCCATGCAGGGCTGAGTTCTGAAAAGCTCATTGCTGCTGACATCAAAGAGCTGACGGCTCCAGGACACCACCAAACATCCACCTCACCAGAGTCCTCAACTCAGAACTCTGAAAGCCGTTTTGCCACCTATGAGAACATATTGCCAAGAATGTTTTGTTATAGGTCTGTTATTTCCTGAATGTGTGTGTGTATAGATAGATAGATAGATTGATAGATAGATAGATAGATAGATAGATAGATAGATAGATAGATAGATAGATGATAGATAGATAGATAGAATAAATTCTTCATTCTGTGTATATGTGTGTGTGTGTGTATATATATATATATAAATTCTTCTTAAGATGTACATTTCCCTAAAAGAATGGGATATCATTTTTTGACCTTTCTTCCATTTTAACTATCTTAAATATATACTGAATACATACGAAAACATTTAGAATACTTCAATATTCCTGATTTGGGCTTTAAACCTAGGGTTTTTGCCATAAAAATCCTTAAAGCCAAGCATAATACCTTTGGTGTGCTATTAACAATGTTCCGAGCAATAAGACAGAAGAGGAAATAATTATTGGCACAATTACATATAGACCTGCATCATTCTGGTGTTTTTCAATATCATCTGAAAAAAGAAATACAATTGACATATCTCAGAAGCTTGAGCAAATATTAATTTCTTTCTATATCAAAACTATAGTAGACTTTTTATGATTTCATCATAGCTCTATATTACCTTGAGAAATATTTTTATAAAAGATATAAGCGTGTTGTGATAACATTGATGAAATAATTATTATTGTTTTCATTATTATACTAGTTATAATTTAGTAAAACCTTTTTTCAAAATTATTTGCCAATCCTCTCTATCTGATCATTAGTTTGTATGTTTCAAAGTGCCAAGTAAAGCTGTTATGATGACTCCATGTCAGTATCTCCTTCTGGAGATCCTGACCTAGAAACCTCCCAACTTTATCTGACTCACACCAGATACACTGACGCCTTGCTATTTCTTGCATCACCAAGCATATTCACTGTTCAGGGGCTTTGCACACACTACCCCTTTGCCTGAAATGCTCTTTCTGTACTTGCAGGAATTCACTTACACCTCACCTCCATGGAAACAACACTTCTGGCCATCCTGGTTGAAACACCACATTTTAACTCTGCGCCTTCGGCTTACTTTGATTGCACTTCATGACACTTATTTCTATGGCCCATGATTCCCATCAACATGCTGGAGTTAAAGCTCCGTAAGGACAAAGACTTATGTTCACTACTCAATCCCCAGATAAAATGTTTCTCTCTTGAAACTTCATTATTTGGGGTTGCTTGGATTTGAAGACAATTTTAAAAAGTAATAACAAAAGCAAAATGCTGTTGTTCCATGTACAGTAAGATGAATCAGACATTTAAAAGGCCCGGTGAATATGTTTCCATAACTCTCTCTCTGGTTTGGTTTTTGGAGGAAGTCATACTTCCTTTAGAACTACCCATCATGCATCTACATAAGACCCTGACTTTTCCATGATTCTATCAGAAAGGAATAATTAGGTTGCAATATTATGCTGTCAAGTTAGGAAACACTCAACATTGGTGTAAAAAAAATACTAAGAGTAAAATTTTTACCATGACTGAAACTATTAATTATCTTCGGTTTTCCCACTCCTTCCATAAATATTGGGTAAAGACTGAACTGATATGTCTCGATGGGGATAAAATGATCTGGAAAAAAAAATAGTAAAAGCTCATTTGCTTAATACTAGTGAGTAAAACCTATCTAAAAAAAAAAAAAAGAATTAAAGTGACTATCCATATTTCCAAATATAAAAATTAGTTGTCATTCATCAATTGAGTTGATAATTAAGAGAGTTTCAAAAACAACCTAAACACTCCAAATTACCTAGTAATGAAAATAATTTTTCCAACATTTTTAAAATATATATATAAGAGAGAAGATTGCAGCTTAATTCCAGGGACAGCCCATTTGTTCAACTTCAGGGTCTATGCCATGTTCTTTCCTTCTCTTTTTTTTTCAGGACAATATGTTCTACCGTCTCTCCCTTATCCACCAAGCAGGCACTATTCTCTTTTATAGGAATTTAGCTTACTTAAGTTTCTCCCCTCAAGGTCCCTGGGAAACTGAAGTCTGGTGAAAACTCTTGTGAAGGGACCAGCAGTTAGCGTAATGGCTATGATGCTGGACTCCCACGTAGTCGACCGTGGTTCGAGTCCCGGACCTGGTGGCTTAAACTCACGCCGGGTGCGTGTGCATGCATGCCCAAGATCCTGAGAGGAGAATAGAGGAGAAGGGATTTCAGTGTGGCCATGCCCCCTGGGGGGGTGATTTCTCGCTTTCTGTCTCTCTGTCTCTCTCTCTGTCTGTCTAGTGAGCGCACGCACCCTATAGCAAAAACCTCTCAAAAAAAAAAAAAAAAAACTCATGTGAAGATGATGGCAGTGGAGACTAAGATGTCCTTGCAATATCTGGGGGTCTAAGTTATGGAGGAAGACCCCTCCCATAAATAAAGTTCAAAATGAATCTATTACTGAAATTTTAAAATGTTAATAATATATAAGTGTATGTGTGTGTATATATATATATATATATATATACACACACATACACACACACATATATATGTCAGGGGACTGAATTCAGTTTCCTATCAATAATGTGTAAACAAATGTACCCTGATGCTAAATTCTAGATCCCTGGAATGAAATAAAAGCATGTATCTTTGGGATGACATTGTATAATACGATCATGGCAATCCTGAGTTTCTCTGCTTAGTTTCCGATCATGCTTACTTAGACTTGGCGAGGCTGTATTGTGCACTGATACTATGCATATTATTCATTTCCTGAGGTTACTGGTTCACCTTTAGAACATTACGCTGGTCTAAGTCATCAGACCCTAGATCATCAAACCTTCAGCCTAACACTCCCACTCATTGCTAGTGACATTATAAACTGGTACACAATTTAGATAACAGAAACCATTAAATTTTTTTTTAAAAAAAAAGTAAAGCTGGGGACCAGCAATTGGCATAATGGCTATGTCGCTGGACTCCCATGAAGTCAATCATGGTTCGAGCACCAGATCCGGTGGCTTAAACTCATGCCGGGCACGTGTGCATGTGTGCCCAAGATCCCCAGAGGAGAACACAGGAGAAATTATTGAGGCATGACGATCCCTCCTTGGGGGGAGGGGGTTGGGGTGGTGATTTCTCGCTTTCTGTCTCTCTGTTTCTCTCTGGCTTCCTGGCAAGCACATGCACTCTATAGCAAAAAAAAAAAAAATCCTCTCCGTAACAAAACAAACAAGGTATGCTGTCTAATCATTAAAAGCAACGCTAATGTATTTACAATAGATGAAACAAGTCAGTGTAAAAGTGATACATGTTGAGACATTATAACTGTCTAAAATATTAAGGTGAAAACAGTCAAAGCGTTTTGATAAAGTGATAGAATTATATGTATAAGACAGTAGCAGCATGAGGCCAGCAGGTGGCATGGTGGTTAAGGGCGCTGGACTCCCACATGGCGGACCATGGTTAGAGTTCTGGACCTGGTGGCTTGCTTTCTCACTCACCCTCATTCTCTCTCTCTCTCTCTCTCTCTCTCTCTCTCTCTCTCACTCACTCACTCTGTCCCTCTTTGGTCAAATTAAAATAAATTAATAAATAAAGTCAAATAAAATAACTCTTTTAGAAAAGATGGTAGCAGCATCTATGTTTTTAACTTTTATTAACTGGCTTTATTATTTAAATTCATAATCTGCAATGTCACACTAATTCAGAGAAGAACTTATTGAAGTATAGTAAACTTACCATGGATATAATACTTCTTAAGAGAGGAAGAGATTCTAAGCCATTTAACTTCATCATCTTCATTAAGATTTTTCCACTCAACAATATAATACATTAGGTTGTACTCGCTGGGTGACAGCATCCAAGAAAGAACCACACAACTGCTGTTTAAAGGATAAGCACTGAGTGACTGCACGATATTTACTGAGGGGAAAAGAAGGAAATTTATTTATAAATTCAAAAGTCATGACAATCTAGTATCCTTAAGGAACTCTAACCGACTAGAAAAGGCAAGAAGAAAGAGAATGCAAATAATATAAACAACTAAACACAGCAACTAAATAATACGTGCCAATTATGTTTACATGATCAAAGTCATATAAGCATAGAAATACAGGAATATTTAATATGGAGGAAAAACAGGATTCTACGTAAAATCTAGAAAAGGGAATTTTATGATATAATCAAAAAGGTGCTCTCAGTGGGACTGCTACACAAGCCCACTAATGCTCTCTGATTCCCTCCATACTCTTCTGCTGGTGAAGTGATGTTTTCGATGCATAACTCTGCTCATTTTAACACTCTTTGCACAGAGGACCACTTAAAAGCTTCCAATGGATTTTCACAGTTGAGGCTAACATTCCTATCACTTCCTCCACAAGAGGATTGAGATTTTTGCACCTTGAAGTCACCCTTAGTCTTTCTTCATTTCCTATCCTGTGTCACAAAAATTTTGCTATTCCTCTGTCTGGAGCCAATTATCTTCCCACTAGCCACACACACACACACACACACACACACATGCACACACACACCCCTTTTAAGGAAGTTTAAAACCTAATCAGACATCAGATTTCAGTTCCAAGGTGGCTCCTCTGACACTCAAGGCCAAGTCAGGTTCTTTCTATTATTTTATTAATTTATATTCCTTTCCTGAGGATGCTTATCTCAGTTTATAAATAGATATTTATTTTCATGGTTATTTGATCAAAGTCTGTCTTACTTTTTAGACTCTAAATGCTACTACTATGACAATTTTGTTACATATGGAATTCCCAGAACCTAGCAGTGTAGCAGCATTCAAATATTTCTAGACTATACTTATAGAAAAAATTTGAAGTGCAAAATGTCATGCTATAAAATGTACAAGGAGCTTATATTATGAGTACCAAGGTAATCATAAGGCATGACATAAAATGCCTTTAAACAGGTAGAAAGCACTTTGAGATGTAAAGGAGGGGATAGAACACATTCAGTCAGAGGAACAAGCAAAGATTTCATGAAGGAGGTAACACTTGGAGAGGCCTTCATGGATGGGTAGAGAAACAGGAAATTTGTATTCTCCAGTAAAAGTTTATACCTTGACAATATGAGAGGGGTCATCAAAAAGTTCATGGAAGGTCAGTCCCATGGCCTAGTGGTGAGAAAACTGAATCTCAGATGACCTACCTGCATGGTTCAAGTCCTGGACTGGCAACTTGAAAAAATATGCCATGTGCATGTGTGTGACCAAAATCCAAAAAAGATGGAGGAATGGAGGAGATGGCATTGCAATCTGACCACACTCTTCTTGAATGTGATCTCTTCCTTTCCCTGTTTCTGTCTTTCTGTCTCTCTCTGGTGAGCCCTCTGGTAATTTTTTTTAAAGCTCATGAAAAATGCATATTATGAAAAACCTACACGTGGATTTCAAATTTTTCATGCTACAATTAACTCGTTTTAATACTGTATTTTTCCACAAAGTTTTTGAAATCCTCTCATATAATTCCTACTGAAAGCAATTCTCAATTCTCTGATTAATCAAATACATTGAAATTAATGAAAAAAGATTCACCACTCACATTAAGTAAAGTTCACAGTAATTTTCAGGTGTCAGCAATTAAACTGCATCCACATAATGTGTCATATTATTACTATATATACTTACTTTTACATAAACTGTATAGATACACATACAGGAGAGACAGAGAAAGGGAGACAAAGACACAGAAATGTTGACCCATAACCTCCATGGGCCCAAAAGGTTTAAAGATTAGGTTTGCTACAATATTCTCATGTATTATAATTCCATTTCAATAATATTCTATCACATTAAATTCAAGGACTATATATATATATATATATATATGAGAGGAGTTTCTACAGGTTGTTAAGAGGGACAATGGATTACTTCTCTGTATTTCTTACCTTTGCTCATAGGCCTTGAGAAAGTTAAATTAAAATTTGCAAAAGAAGCACCGATTGAATTGATGGCCAGAACTGTAACAGTATGTACTTGATCTGTCCACAGGAAAGTGAATTTAGTGTGATTTCCCACATCTTCTGACCACGCTCCCTGGTGGGGTGTATGATGGTTTACCACGTATCTTCTCACACTGCACAAGGAGTCACTTTTCATCAGGGGCTATAGTAAACATAAACATTGATTAGTTTAAGGGTTATACCACTTTTTATGCCAACTGAGCTTACGGAATTCATGCATTTCCCATTAGAAGGCAGGGGTGAGATAGGCAGGTGTTGCCTATTCCAGAGTTAAGGATTGAGAAGACAGGGAGATCTAGAAGCCGCCTCCAACCACAGTCTCCATGAATATGTCTGAGTAGTCACAGAGCATAGGAAATTTATTTTCTCCGTTGTTTTTTTTTTCCTTAAAACCCAGTGAATACATCACATGTAGATAATAAAGCAAGGATACAATCAGGTCATTCTTCTACTGAGAAGTTCCACTCAGATTTTAGGGGGAAAAAAATACAGACAAAGGGCCAAGAGTTTACTAATCTAAACAGCAAACAAGGAATAACCCTCAGGTTCTGTAGAGCAACAAGAAAGGACAAAAAAGATGTTAATCACCATTTATAATCATTCTAGTAAGATTGGTCGTTTGTTTTCCCTTCCTCTTACATGCTCAGAAGGCTACTTGAGAATGGGAAGTTTGAAAAGGTTAATAAGAATTAGGACAGTGCAGATGGAAACCCAGAGTTTGTTTCTTTTTTTTTTCTAAGTCATAATAGAGCATTAAAGGTTCCAATGTAAATGCATACCCACTCCAATTCTATTCTTCCATTCTATAGAATCAAACATCTCTCCCTTTCCCAATCCCCTCACCTGTTGCAGGTAAGATTAAATGCTGCCAGTCCCTTACAAGCCCAAAGAAAGCTTGATTCTACACCATGGACCAGAACAGTGCCTATCCGTATTTTTGCAATTGATATGCCTCTCAATTAGAAATGGCAGAGAAAATTTAAAACCTATATAGATATCCCTGCAGAGCTTGAAATCATCTGGATAGGTAGGGAGTAGTAAGACTTTAGCCATCATTACAAGAAGAACATGTGTCAAAAGTCATGTAAGTTTTGCATTTTACTTGAAAAAAAAACCATGTTAGTTTTAATATTCTTGTAACCATCAAATAAAAAAATAATGATAAATGCTCTTACTTTTGGGTGCTATAAAATTCTACAGGCTCATTTTATATATATATTTCCTGCCTCAGCACTAAAATTAGTCATTTCTTCCAAGACCCTTCATTCCTTTTATTAAATAACTGTGGTAGAAAAAAATCAGGGCCCATTCCCTATTATTGGGATATCATTACTTTTAGGTCCTCTTAGCTTATAAACCCAGGAAATGTGCATAAACTAACCCAAAATCCATCTGTATTTATATTATATTATAATTATTTATATTAAGCTAAATATGCATTCATACTGATGTCTCCAACTCTAATCCATTACCACACAGATCACTCCTTCCTTTTCATCTTATTTGTCTATAATCCTCCAGTCCCAAAGAATCCTGGGTCCCAGCATCTGCCATCCATGTACTTAACTGTTCCATTCAATCATACACATAGAATGATATCATAATTTTTAACCCATATCCCCATCAGAAATATACCAACTAGGGTACAGTGCTTATGTACAATTTCTTTTGTCTTTAGTCTTAAGACTCCACTCATCTCCAAAGTCACTTAGGCCTTTTCTCCTACTACTTTCAGTGAAGTGGTTTTATACATTAGAAATACTGCTACATTCCCTGGTCACAATCTGTATTCCATCCTTGGAATCCCCAACCTCCTAAATGAATTATTTTTGAATCTACATGAATGAAGGTTCACAAGTGTTAACAAGTTTTATGGGATTTGGCAAATATATAGTGCTATGTACCCACCCTTTCAGTATTATACAGAATACTTTCACTTTGGAGGGATATTTTGGTTCCTTTCCAGTGTTGGGCGATTATGAATAAAGCTGGTGAACATTCATGTGGAAGCTTCTAGGTGTACAAAAGCTTTCAGATCAGCTGGGCAAACACTCAGGAGTACAATGTTACATCAAATGGTAAGGCTACATTTAACTTTGTAAGAAATTACCATAAAGTCATCCAAAGTGGTGGTATCATTTGCATTTCCACCAGCAATAAGTAAAAGTTCCTGTTGCCCTATAGTCTCATCAGGAATTTTATTATTACTTTTTTGGGATTTTAGACATTCTTATAGACGTGGAGTAGTAGTAATTTTTGTTTTAATTTGTACTTCCTTAATGGCAAGTGATATTTAACAGCTATTACTATTATTTCCATTCTGTATATTTCCTTTGGTTAGGTGTTCAGATATTTGTGCACTTTTAATTAGGTTGTTTTCCTATTCTGTAATTTCCAATTTATTGTACAATTTGATTATAGCTCCTTTATCGGATATGTGTTTTGCAGATATTTTCATCTAGTTTGTACCTTATCTTTCATTCTCTTCACAGTCTCTTTAGATCATAAGTTTTTAAGTAAAGCGCACCTTATCCATACTCGAAAATTAAAAGAAGAAAAGGAAAATGAAAGTCCACAATGGGGCAAGTCACAGGACACAAGTCAATTAAAATAACTCTTAATGACTAAAGCAGAAGTAATTTGAGCAATGTAATAAATATTGGACTATGACTCAAAGTACAGAATAAATATTCATGGTCCATACTGGTGTAAATAAACTATTGAATAAAATGAAAAAATGTGGGAGTACAGAAAAATCTCCCATGCATTTGAATTCTAAATAAGTTAAGTAGATCCTCTACCCTTATGTAGAACCTAACTCCCTACTCCTTAAAAATGAGCTATCAACAGTGATTTCATTCCAAAAAGTATAGTATGCAAAGAAGAAAAACTGAGTAACTTAATAGAAGGAACAGACAGACACTACCTCAGCCAGGAGAGCAAGATTAATATCAACAATGTTAAGTCATGTTGGTAGTATGTAGCCTTAATATGATGCAAGGAGATGGCACTTTCCATCCGTGGTCTTCCTCTGCAAAACCCTTAAGCCTAATCTAATCCTGAGAAAATATCAGGCAACCCATTTGAGGGAGAGCTGACAAAATACTTGATCAGTACTCCTCAAAAATGTCAAGTTCACTGCCTCAGAAACATCATTGCCTATCCCTTACTGTAAAAACTCTCCAATCTCTGTAGAAGTACCTAGAGAGATTAAACAAAAATAAGGAAAAAATCTCTTGGACAAGATGGCTGTTTCTTATTTAGCAGCATTCTCCTTCCTCAGTGAGTCTAACTCTTAGGATCTCTCATAGTATAAGTCTCCAATTCCCTTGAAGGTGGAGACATGTATAAAAGTTCTTGGAATAAAATAATTAACAAATATTAGCCTCAGTTCTTAATGATAACTTTTGAAATATTGAAATATAAAACATATAAATTGCATTGTTTATTAATGGAAAAAAATTTTATAGTAACTGGACTTACCAACTATTGAGTCATGGTGTATTTTTCTGTGTTTTTCCAACAACCCAATAAATGAAATGAACATGAACTCTTACACAACTCTTTTTTTTTTTCTTTTATTTTTTTAATGTAGGAATTGGTCATAGATCAGGAAACCATTTTGTAACATGTGCTCATTCAATCTTGAGAATTAAAACTTTAATTTCACTCTTTTTTTTTTTTTAAGTATAAACACCTTTATCAGTTCTGCGATTTGGGGTGGCATAGATACTATTTTACTTCATGTGTTTTATTCCCAAATATTATATCTTAAAATTTGGTATCTAGTGGCCAAATAATCTTTTCACTTGGGATAGAAATAAACCTATTTAGGAGAAAGAATGCTTTGGAAATTGTTACACTGAATATCTATTTTTAAAGAAAATATCTATTACAAATCTGTCATTAAACAAATAAAATAATCTCTTAAGTTTTAGATGCCCTTGAGATATGTAGGAAAGGTCATATGTACATCGTTCAGACTGAATAAGAACAAAATTTGGGGACTTGAAGGAACACTAGATATTGTGTAGCCGATCTTATATTTATAAAGATGAACACACTGAGGCCCAACGATGCTAAGTGACTATGCCAAAATAGTAGATGTTACTATTTCTCCAACCATTACACATTAATCTGAAAAAAGAATTAGTCTCCTATGCTCGCGCCAGTGTTCCAGCCATGACATCTCTTACCTCTCTGCAGTGAGACCTCAAAAACACAATGAAAATATGGTTTACAAAGCTTTCCAGAGATCAGTAATGACTGGATTATGAACAAGAGGTAAATCTTTTAAGAATATAAAAAGGAAAATTTAAGAATAACATAAAAAGCAGGGCTACCTTCCAAAGTAAGGTGACATTTGTCTCTTTTTTAGTACTGTCTCCATTTATTATTCTCCAAAATTCAGGTCCTCTCATTGGAACTGCAAAATGATAAAGAGTACAAGTTGTACACATGTGTTTGCAAGAAGTATTTTCCAACCACATTTGAAGCACATTTATGCACTTCAAGACACATTTACAAAATCTCTGCAGACCTTTTATATCCATGACAACTGTGTAGGCAGGAGAGCTCCAATTACTCCAATACCCCAGGCCATCTAGTCTCTTACAGCGCACCTGAACAGCATAGACTGCACACAGGTCTGGCACTGGAAGACTGGCAACCTTTGATTTTGCATCATACACCTCATGTATCTGTAAAATAATTCAAAGCATTAGATTAGATTGATCATTATTAACACATAGGCATCTAAAGGGATCTGAAGTGCATTTCATTTTAAACCTTAACACTATTCCAAAATTAAAAGATATCGGATTGTATGTTTTTTGGCTTTAGAAACAGTCCAATTAGTCTTGGATTATGCTATGGCTTAGATGAGTTCCCCAAAAAATGAGATGGGATTCATAGGTGAAAACTTAATCTGACTGTGGTGTTGAAAGGTATAACCTTTGAAGGATGATTCGTATTAAGGTCATCATGGTGGGGCCCCACGATTGAATATGGCAGGTTTAGAAGGAGAGGGAATGAGACATGCTGACTCAGATATTCATGTTCTTGCTCTGTCTTGCCACGTGATGCTCTGCCATGTTCTTCACCAGCAAGAAGACCCTTATCGATGTAGCCCCTTGACCTTGGATCTCCAAAACTGTGAGAAAAATAAACTTCTATTCTTATAAGCCACCCAGTTTCAAGTAAAAGTTATTAAGCAACAGAGAATATATTAAAACAGGCTGTGAGCACCTTCAAGGATTTTCTTATTCATCTTGTCACTCCTAGCTGATGACAAGAATTTGAACTGGTTCATTTGCAGCCTCATATTCCAGACACTCTCTTACTCTGCTACTAAATTTTGTCCACTAATCCTATAGCCACAAAGACTTTTTAAGAATTTTTAACCTAGGGGTTAGATAGGGCCTACTCTAGAGAATTTCTAATATTCAGTCTTCCTCAGTAAGCACCTAGCTGTCACGTTGGTTTAACTGCTATCGTTTTGGTCCAATGATATAATTAGGGGTTCCTGGTATTTCTAGGTTTTTGCAGGCTGCCATCACAAACTGACGTGGAAAGCCATCAGGCATACTTGCCACTATGGATATGGTTCTGGTTGTTTGGTAAAAGCAGCTTCTTCCAAAATGTATTCCATTGAACATAAATGTACTTAACGATATTAACAGATGTTAGAGGAGAAAACAGGTCTGCAGAAAAGCAAGTTTGTGAACATGGGATGAAGTAGTCATAAATGTTTCTTTAATGTCTCTCTAAATCTGTTATATATAATATAGCGTCCTTCCTTTTCATCTTATTTGTCTATAATCCTCCAGTCCCAAAGAATCCTGGGTCCCAGCATCTGCCATCCATGTACTTAACTGTTCCATTCAATCATACACATAGAATGATATCATAATTTTTAACCCATATCCCCATCAGAAATATACCAACTAGGGTACAGTGCTTATGTACAATTTCTTTTGTCTTTAGTCTTAAGACTCCACTCATCTCCAAAGTCACTTAGGCCTTTTCTCCTACTACTTTCAGTGAAGTGGTTTTATACATTAGAAATACTGCTACATTCCCTGGTCACAATCTGTATTCCATCCTTGGAATCCCCAACCTCCTAAATGAATTATTTTTGAATCTACATGAATGAAGGTTCACAAGTGTTAACAAGTTTTATGGGATTTGGCAAATATATAGTGCTATGTACCCACCCTTTCAGTATTATACAGAATACTTTCACTTTGGAGGGATATTTTGGTTCCTTTCCAGTGTTGGGCGATTATGAATAAAGCTGGTGAACATTCATGTGGAAGCTTCTAGGTGTACAAAAGCTTTCAGATCAGCTGGGCAAACACTCAGGAGTACAATGTTACATCAAATGGTAAGGCTACATTTAACTTTGTAAGAAATTACCATAAAGTCATCCAAAGTGGTGGTATCATTTGCATTTCCACCAGCAATAAGTAAAAGTTCCTGTTGCCCTATAGTCTCATCAGGAATTTTATTATTACTTTTTTGGGATTTTAGACATTCTTATAGACGTGGAGTAGTAGTAATTTTTGTTTTAATTTGTACTTCCTTAATGGCAAGTGATATTTAACAGCTATTACTATTATTTCCATTCTGTATATTTCCTTTGGTTAGGTGTTCAGATATTTGTGCACTTTTAATTAGGTTGTTTTCCTATTCTGTAATTTCCAATTTATTGTACAATTTGATTATAGCTCCTTTATCGGATATGTGTTTTGCAGATATTTTCATCTAGTTTGTACCTTATCTTTCATTCTCTTCACAGTCTCTTTAGATCATAAGTTTTTAAGTAAAGCGCACCTTATCCATACTCGAAAATTAAAAGAAGAAAAGGAAAATGAAAGTCCACAATGGGGCAAGTCACAGGACACAAGTCAATTAAAATAACTCTTAATGACTAAAGCAGAAGTAATTTGAGCAATGTAATAAATATTGGACTATGACTCAAAGTACAGAATAAATATTCATGGTCCATACTGGTGTAAATAAACTATTGAATAAAATGAAAAAATGTGGGAGTACAGAAAAATCTCCCATGCATTTGAATTCTAAATAAGTTAAGTAGATCCTCTACCCTTATGTAGAACCTAACTCCCTACTCCTTAAAAATGAGCTATCAACAGTGATTTCATTCCAAAAAGTATAGTATGCAAAGAAGAAAAACTGAGTAACTTAATAGAAGGAACAGACAGACACTACCTCAGCCAGGAGAGCAAGATTAATATCAACAATGTTAAGTCATGTTGGTAGTATGTAGCCTTAATATGATGCAAGGAGATGGCACTTTCCATCCGTGGTCTTCCTCTGCAAAACCCTTAAGCCTAATCTAATCCTGAGAAAATATCAGGCAACCCATTTGAGGGAGAGCTGACAAAATACTTGATCAGTACTCCTCAAAAATGTCAAGTTCACTGCCTCAGAAACATCATTGCCTATCCCTTACTGTAAAAACTCTCCAATCTCTGTAGAAGTACCTAGAGAGATTAAACAAAAATAAGGAAAAAATCTCTTGGACAAGATGGCTGTTTCTTATTTAGCAGCATTCTCCTTCCTCAGTGAGTCTAACTCTTAGGATCTCTCATAGTATAAGTCTCCAATTCCCTTGAAGGTGGAGACATGTATAAAAGTTCTTGGAATAAAATAATTAACAAATATTAGCCTCAGTTCTTAATGATAACTTTTGAAATATTGAAATATAAAACATATAAATTGCATTGTTTATTAATGGAAAAAATTTTATAGTAACTGGACTTACCAACTATTGAGTCATGGTGTATTTTTCTGTGTTTTTCCAACAACCCAATAAATGAAATGAACATGAACTCTTACACAACTCTTTTTTTTTTTCTTTTATTTTTTTAATGTAGGAATTGGTCATAGATCAGGAAACCATTTTGTAACATGTGCTCATTCAATCTTGAGAATTAAAACTTTAATTTCACTCTTTTTTTTTTTTTAAGTATAAACACCTTTATCAGTTCAGCGATTTGGGGTGACATAGATACTATTTTACTTCATGCGTTTTATTCCCAAATATTATATCTTAAAATTTGGTATCTAGTGGCCAAATAATCTTTTCACTTGGGATAGAAATAAACCTATTTAGGAGAAAGAATGCTTTGGAAATTGTTACACTGAATATCTATTTTTAAAGAAAATATCTATTACAAATCTGTCATTAAACAAATAAAATAATCTCTTAAGTTTTAGATGCCCTTGAGATATGTAGGAAAGGTCATATGTACATCGTTCAGACTGAATAAGAACAAAATTTGGGGACTTGAAGGAACACTAGATATTGTGTAGCCGATCTTATATTTATAAAGATGAACACACTGAGGCCCAACGATGCTAAGTGACTATGCCAAAATAGTAGATGTTACTATTTCTCCAACCATTACACATTAATCTGAAAAAAGAATTAGTCTCCTATGCTCGCGCCAGTGTTCCAGCCATGACATCTCTTACCTCTCTGCAGTGAGACCTCAAAAACACAATGAAAATATGGTTTACAAAGCTTTCCAGAGATCAGTAATGACTGGATTATGAACAAGAGGTAAATCTTTTAAGAATATAAAAAGGAAAATTTAAGAATAACATAAAAAGCAGGGCTACCTTCCAAAGTAAGGTGACATTTGTCTCTTTTTTAGTACTGTCTCCATTTATTATTCTCCAAAATTCAGGTCCTCTCATTGGAACTGCAAAATGATAAAGAGTACAAGTTGTACACATGTGTTTGCAAGAAGTATTTTCCAACCACATTTGAAGCACATTTATGCACTTCAAGACACATTTACAAAATCTCTGCAGACCTTTTATATCCATGACAACTGTGTAGGCAGGAGAGCTCCAATTACTCCAATACCCCAGGCCATCTAGTCTCTTACAGCGCACCTGAACAGCATAGACTGCACACAGGTCTGGCACTGGAAGACTGGCAACCTTTGATTTTGCATCATACACCTCATGTATCTGTAAAATAATTCAAAGCATTAGATTAGATTGATCATTATTAACACATAGGCATCTAAAGGGATCTGAAGTGCATTTCATTTTAAACCTTAACACTATTCCAAAATTAAAAGATATCGGATTGTATGTTTTTTGGCTTTAGAAACAGTCCAATTAGTCTTGGATTATGCTATGGCTTAGATGAGTTCCCCAAAAAATGAGATGGGATTCATAGGTGAAAACTTAATCTGACTGTGGTGTTGAAAGGTATAACCTTTGAAGGATGATTCGTATTAAGGTCATCATGGTGGGGCCCCACGATTGAATATGGCAGGTTTAGAAGGAGAGGGAATGAGACATGCTGACTCAGATATTCATGTTCTTGCTCTGTCTTGCCACGTGATGCTCTGCCATGTTCTTCACCAGCAAGAAGACCCTTATCGATGTAGCCCCTTGACCTTGGATCTCCAAAACTGTGAGAAAAATAAACTTCTATTCTTATAAGCCACCCAGTTTCAAGTAAAAGTTATTAAGCAACAGAGAATATATTAAAACAGGCTGTGAGCACCTTCAAGGATTTTCTTATTCATCTTGTCACTCCTAGCTGATGACAAGAATTTGAACTGGTTCATTTGCAGCCTCATATTCCAGACACTCTCTTACTCTGCTACTAAATTTTGTCCACTAATCCTATAGCCACAAAGACTTTTTAAGAATTTTTAACCTAGGGGTTAGATAGGGCCTACTCTAGAGAATTTCTAATATTCAGTCTTCCTCAGTAAGCACCTAGCTGTCACGTTGGTTTAACTGCTATCGTTTTGGTCCAATGATATAATTAGGGGTTCCTGGTATTTCTAGGTTTTTGCAGGCTGCCATCACAAACTGACGTGGAAAGCCATCAGGCATACTTGCCACTATGGATATGGTTCTGGTTGTTTGGTAAAAGCAGCTTCTTCCAAAATGTATTCCATTGAACATAAATGTACTTAACGATATTAACAGATGTTAGAGGAGAAAACAGGTCTGCAGAAAAGCAAGTTTGTGAACATGGGATGAAGTAGTCATAAATGTTTCTTTAATGTCTCTCTAAATCTGTTATATATAATATAGCGTGACAATACTAGAAAGTGATTCAGTGATTCAGGGTTTTCTAAACTTTTTAGCCAGCAATCTTCTTTCAAGGCATATTGTATGAGACCAGTGTTCTATAAAACACATTCTAGGGCCAGTGCTATAGCCTGGAGACCAGTTAAGGAGACCAGATCCCACATAGCCAACAGTGGTTTGAATCTCAGTCTGGTGGCTTGAAAAATATGCCAGGTACGTGTGCATACATGCCCAAAATCCTAACAGGAAGGAAAAATGGAGAAGTGATCATAGTGTGATCATACCCCACTGGGAAGAAATTTTGCTCTCTCTCTCTCTCTCTGTCTCTCTCTGGAAAATGCACTCTCTGGCAATTAAAATGATAGTAACAACAACAACAATTTTAAAAAAAAAACACTTCGGGAAATGATAGATCACAGGAAATTTTGTTCCTTAAAAGGCTACCATTAGTATCAATCTATTTCATGGAAATTGCTACCGAATACAAGAGAATGTACTTTTATACCAATAATGTTAATGTTATATGATAAAACACTGAAGTATAAGACATAGCATTTAGTGAGACAAGCTGAAGACATTTTTAGGTAAAAGGTACCTTCCATTGTACTTCTTTTCCACTTAAACCATAGCGAATCTGGAACTGAAGATTATTCTCTGGAAAGACTTGCTTTTCCCAAGATATTTTTAATAATCCCACATTCACAGTAATTTCTGCTTTCACACTGGATGGAGGCAGTGGTTTCACTAGGAATTTAAAAAATATTATTACATAATAGTAATTTAAATAGTAATAATGTTTTAAAATATATCACTATGTTTTTCATATTTTATAAAGTAGTATCTCTTTCAAAATTTTCTCATTCATTATCTTATCTGATCCCCTATAACTTTTTGTACCACATGAGAAAGGGACTATCACTATTCTCTAAACAAAAAGGTTAATTGAAAAAAAAAATACATTTTCTATGTTGCTTTGCAAGTTAATAACAATACTCAATTATAAACAGACCCATTGTTGCCACATGCAAAAGATACCATACTGAACACACAATACATGTCAATAGCAAACTCCATTCTACATAGAGCGTAAATTAAAGACAAAAAACAAGCAGCAAAACAAATATGCACTGCCTTAATTTCCACATATGGATTTCATACTCTTATTAAGTATAGGTCAAGGTCAGAGACAGTCATTCAAAGTAAAGCCTTTGTTTTCTATAACCTGAGAAAAACATGTTTTTAATAGACAGAAGTAGAGTGAAGATGATTAGAATGGCAAGTAATTTTTTTAAAAAAATTGCTCTTTAAATATGTGTGTGTGTGTGTGTGTGTGCACGCGCGCGCGCGTGCACACACACACACACATATTTAAAGAGCAATTTTTTTAAAAAAATTGCTCTTTAAATATGTGTGTGTGTGTGTGCACGCGCGCGCGCGTGCACACACACACACACATATTTAAAGAGCAATTTTTTTAAAAAAATTGCTCTTTAAATATGTGTGTGTGTGTGTGTGTGTATAAGATATGCTTAAATGTAAAAACGACAGGAATAAAAAAATCTTTCTTATTTGATCACATTTTTATGTTGTTGCTTTCAGAGTTCACATCAAAACTTTAGCTTAGGCTTATATCCACTACATAAATTTCCCCAAAATTATTAATTTCACACCTGGAGGGCTACTATTCCCAAAAATAAAAGCCAAAATGGAAACTCAGCATATATGAGACTAACAGCCTATAAGACCATCGTAACAGTGAGCTTCTGAAGACCCTAACTTCTATCAGCTTTGCAATGCAGAATTACACTTGCATAGTCATGTCCTGCTATCTGCATCAAGTATGGAGGATTCCACGGAGAGAGCATATATAGAGAGCATACACGTGATATGCCAAACTAGTGGTTAAAATTTAAGTTTTGGGGGCTGGCAGGTGGCATGGTGGATAGGGGTGCTAGCCAACTATGGCCAACTATGGTCCAAGTCCCAGACCTAGTGGCATGCTTTCTCACTTTCCCTCTCTCTCTTGTCAAATTCAATAATAATAATAATAATAATTTAAAGTTCTTCTATGACAACTGGAAAAGAGTTGCTCTCCCGGAGAACACTTCCTCTAGAACTGGCTCACTTTGAATCTGCTCTACTCCTGCCCATGGTTCAGCAACTGAAAGGTTAATACTGGTGAAGCATAGGACTCCAGGATTGCAGCTGGACCGTCCCTCCTCTTGGTAATTATTTTGATAATCACTCCTGCCTGTGGATTATCCGAAGTGAAAGGTGGCCCTTGGCTGGAGTATAAAACAGCGGCAGTGGCAAAAAGGAAAGCCAAAGCCCTAATGATGTGAAACCAGCCAACCAACCAACCAAAGAACACTAAGTCATCCAGACCATAACTGATACCAAATACAGACAATCTGTGTAGGAAAAATGAAAAGATGTCTGACCATAAAGGTTCTTAGACATCCTTTCTTGATCTGTTTATTTCCTCATGTTTAATAAATGTTAATCTTGTTACGAATCATGGGAAATAAACTAATCCCTGTAATACAATAAGATAGGAGTTTGCTATCATTCTCTTCTTCCAAACCTGTTTCCAAAAACAACCACTGTAGAAAGGTGTGTTCTCCCATAGGCACAGTATTTTCAAAATAATTTTAAATTAATCAGCAATATTTTAGGCTGCCGATGACAAAAACAACTAAGCTTTTTCATTAGTATACAGCTGAAATGATTACTTCGTTCTTCATAGACCAGGAACACATGATTCACCAACTCAGTAAGATGATGTACATCATGTCTTAAGAAGAGAATTTCTCCTCAGGAGAGAAAGTATCAATGTTCCAGAGAGCATATGAAATTAAAACTATAATCACACTTGATTGCATCATATGGATATATTCAGTGAATATTTAGTTTGCAGAAAGTATGCTTTGAAGTTCAGTAGTATTCAATCATCCCTGAATTACCTATGCTGGGAAAGTGTGAGGACCTATCCACATTTTACAGATAATAACAGACACAGAGTGCTTAACGTGACTAGCTGAAGTTTACAAACCTAATAAGAGGTGAAGCTGGCACATGGGTCCCATAGCTGAATTTTTACATTTCTTCCTAGTAATAAGCAGGCAATTTAAGCAATATTAAACCCTTTATCTTAGTTTTGAAAAGTATAACATCTGAAATTATTTAGATAGCATATTGTACTGGATCTATATTGCAATTTTTATATGTGAGTTATATTTTTAATTTATTTAATTTTATTTATTTTTAAAATTTTTGCTCTAGGGCATGTGTGCTTACCAGAGAGAGATGAAGAGGTGGGGAGGAGGGGGAAGAAAGCAAGCCACCAGGTCTGGGATTTGAAATATGTTCGGCTGTATGGAAGTCTAGCACCTTAACCACCGCCACCTGCTAGCCCCATGTATGTGTGTCATTATCCATCCATGTTTTATGGGAGAAGGAGTAGAACAGGGTCTTTGCTATCTTAAGATATTCAAAAGCAGAAAATTACTGTTTGCAGTAAAATCACTTAAGATTAAATAGCAGAGGGGCCAGCAGCTTGTGTGGTGGTTAAGGATGCTGGACTCTCACATGTGTGTGTCATTATCCATCCATGTTTTATGGGAGAAGGAGTAGAACAGGGTCTTTGCTATCTTAAGATATTCAAAAGCAGAAAATTACTGTTTGCAGTAAAATCACTTAAGATTAAATAGCAGAGGGGCCAGCAGCTTGTGTGGTGGTTAAGGATGCTGGACTCTCACATGGCCAACCACGGTTTGAGTCTCAGACCTGGAGACTTGCTTTCTGACTTTCTTTCTCTCTCTGTTCCTCTCTGGTCAAATTTAAATGAATGAAGGGACCAGCAGTTAGCGTAATGGCTATGTCACTGGACTCCCATGTAGTTGACTGCGGTTCAAGTCCCGGACCTGGCGGCTTAAACTTACACCGGGCATGTTTGCGTGCATGCCCAAGATCCCGCGAGGGGAATGGAGGAGAAGAGATTGTGGTGTGGTGATCCCGCCCTGAGGGCTGACGCTTTCTGTCTCTCTGTCTCTCTCTGTCTGGTGAGCGCACGTGCCCTATAGCAAAAACCTCTCAAAAAATTTTAAATGAATGAATAAATAAATAATTTAAATTAAGTTCAATAAAATAATTCTTAAAAAAAAGTAGAGATAGAATCAATATTGAGATTTTTATGTTGAAGAAATTCAATAATTAAGACATCAATCTATATTTAATAAAATGTAGATTTTTAACTTAAATACACACTAATTAATTGAAAAAATAATTAATCAAAATTGACTTTTGGCATAATTTCCCAAAAAAGAATATACAACATCAAAACACAGTATCCCATTTCTGCTGTACCACCATAAGGGGGTCATTTCTCAAAAATTTCATAGTGGTATTGGAAAGATATACCAAATTTTCTAAGGGCTTGCTTAGTATCTGTGAAATTAAAATATCTCTTAAAAAGAATATTTTAATTATCACAGTAGACTTAATCATCTTTGTCTATTTTCCCCACTTGAATTATTTTGACTGCTTCTGTGCCCTACACAACCTCACAAACTCAAGTCTTTGGTTAAACCCACTCAGACTACCACGACCCTTAGAATGTCCAAGTTAAATTTTTGGATTAAAAATGACATACACTTTCATAAGTACACTGGTAGAAAAATATTAAAAATAGTGTATCCTTTAGAAAAGTGTTACTAAAATTCATTCATAGTGACCCATCTAATTCATTAATTAGTGTTCTGAAAATATTCCTACACTGAAAAAGTATGCTATAAATAAATTAAAACTCAATATACTGATTTTCTTTCATTTGGACATATACTCAGTAGTGAGACTGTTGGATTGTATTCTAGTTGCAATATCTAACATATGGAATCAACTTATGTATTTTTTTTACAACAATGATCTTTATTTTTATTTCTTTTTTTTTGGTATTTACACCCATTTATTGTGTTTGTATACCCTTTAGTCAATCAGTTTCAGTCACAGAGTGTAGACACATGGTATAAAGAAAAGCAGCTCTATGAGTAGAATCCTTCTGCCAAAGATCTTTCTGATATTCCATACACAAGTTCAGATTTACACTGAAAAATTCCATGCTTATCTCCGAAAATGAGCTTCATTTTACGATGTCCATACAAGAACAGTGTAAAACTGCTTCCAAAACCAAACATTGATGTAGAGCAAATCAACTTATATATCTAAACTAAGTGACATTGTGGGTAGAAATAGCATGGAGACTCTGTTTTGAGTCTCTCTCTCTCTTTCTCTCTCTCGTGAAATAAATAATTTTAAAAAAGAGATTAACTGTAAATTATTACTAGTCAATTAAATATAAGAAAAGAAAAACAGAAAAACAAAAATGATATAAGATAATCTCAAAATTTTAACTTTCTAAGGTTCATTATCTTTTTTTAAAAAATTTTTATTATCATAATCTCATTTATATTACATTGAATTACATATAACTTTACAGTGTATTACATTTATTTTTCCAGAAGGAATACCATTCATATCAGTCAATGCAATACAGACATTAAAATCCCAATCATCATCATCCAATAGCTTTTCATTTTTTTCCAGATTGTTATTATTAATATGGTTAATTATCTTTTCAATTCCACTGTAAACAGATAAAATACTTTCTTCAAACTCTAGTGTGGCCAGAAGATAGTAAAATATAACATTAACCCTAAATCAATCTGCTTCCAAATCTGCTAATAAAATAGAGACATACAACGCAGTTTGACATACCCACAGAGTCAGGAAGGACACATGTTGGTGGAGAGTCAAGGGAACCCAAAGAGTGATTGATCCGAATCCACATTGTGTAGCCAGATAAAAGGAAGATCGGCTGAAAAATGCATTCATAGAAACCATCCCTCTGCAAATGGCAATCTTTGGGTTCAGACATGGGATGAATAGATGGGATATCAGAACAATAAAGGCTGCTCCTTAAAAGATACAAAAATAGCCAATTAATATACAATGTTAAAAAAAGCAATAAGGTATTTTTAGAATTCTGATTTTTTTGCTTAAAAGAAACAGTTTCACTCCTTCTAAAAACAAATATTCTTAATAGAAAAGCATTCTTGAATTCTCAGCTATACCTCAATCTTACGTCTTTCAAAAGAAACCACAATAATTCTTTTTTTTATTTACATTCATTCACTGTACATCATTGCAGTATACAAAATGAGATTTTCCATCCAGAGTACACTGTATATAGTCTCAATCAAGCACATCAACATACATGTTATTGTCAACAAATAATTTTCCATTTCTTTTTTCCTATATGCTTTGCTTTTTTCCCCCCATCCTTGATTCCCTATCTCTTACCCTCTGCCACCTCCCACTCTCCTCCCCCACTGTCTCTGGTATCTATGTTTGCTTTCTATACTGCTTTCCCCCCCACATTTTATTGAATTACTAAAGATCTTAATTCATCTAAATATTTTCATAGAAAACACAGCTGATATATACATTTCCATGAACACAAGTCTAACTTTAGGCATCCTATAAAGGAATACCTAGCTGGGGCTATATATCTTACTACAGTCATCGAATAGATATTTTTTTTCTGAAACTTTTTTTTTCTAACTTAATTTACATGTTTTCCCTAAGCATCATCACAGCATACTTCATTAGACACTAAGTGGGGATGTAAATGAAATAAATGCTCTAACAGTGAGATCTGGATACAGTTAGAGACAAAACTTTTGACTTTTTGACTTTTTGAAAGTTTAAGTGATATAATAAATTTTCTTTTATTTGTTTCTTTTTCTTTTTAAGAGGCTTTTGCCTTAGGGGCGCATAAGCTTGCTGGAGAGAGACAGTGAGAGGGAAAGTGAGAAATTGCCCCTCAAGGGGGGATGGCCACACCACAATCCCTTCTCCTCCATTTCCTCCCTGGATCTTGGGCACAATCGCACACTAGCCCAGCCTGAGTTTCAAGCCACCAGTCTGGGACTCAAACTGCAGTCAACCATGTGAGTTCAGCAATGAAACTGCTACACTATCTGCTGGTCCTATTTTTTTTTTATACAATTCTGAAAATGTAGATCAAAAGTAGTAATAGCGCATTTCTGGAAAAAGAAGAGAGGCAAGTTCCTCACACTTTTAAGTACACAATTAAACTCTATTACCAATTGAGACTCTAACTGAGAGTAAAAAATAGCAAGATTGGCCATGCAACAAAATTAAAATAATTCCAACTCCTAATACACACATGAATGATAGAACCAAGCATACTACTTTTCAGAGAAGAAAATTCAGAGAAAAAAAATTTTTTATGAGTTCCAACCAACACTCCACCTCAGAACATACAAATCGTGTCTCCTCTTCTTTGAATAGCTTTGTCCTCAATGTTTGCTCTGAATATGGTATTTAAAGGGCTAACTCAGCAGTTATTTCATGTGATAAGAGTGACGAGATTAAAAGGAGATGAAAAATGTACACGCTCTCATTTCTGATCTTCTGGAATACTTTTTTTTTCCCCTCAAAATTCCAATCATGGGTGTGTGCATGTATGCAAGAGAGAGAGTGAAAGAATAGGGTGTAGTTGAGTGGAGAAAAATGAAAAGGAGGGATGAGAGGGCCATCGGCAGGTAGAAACTCTAAGCAGTGTAGAAGCACAGTAATGGTCTTTGCAATCCAAAGGTTAGCAGCACTGTCATCGTGGCAGCAATAACCATGTATTGAATGTTTACTAGGAGAAATCTTACTTTTAATTATAATTAAATGGGATGTGTTAATTCTCATAGAAACCCAGGGAGTCCTACTATTCTGCCTATGTTACAGACAAAAACTCGGAGGCTTAGAGAGAGGTTAATAAACTCGCCCAAGTACGTGCAGCTAGTTTCATGGCTATTCTGTAAATGTTAGTAAGAGAAGTGAGGCATCAGGCAGCATTAGGAATAGGGCTAAGATCTCTATGTTTGAGGGAGGGGATTTACTTTTCAAGTTGAAAATTAAGATTTTTAAGAATAAGCACATTACATACTTGAAAGTCTCAGATACAATTAAAAAGACAAAGTAGGACGTAGTTGAAAACTATTATGGCATATCTTAAAAATAAAAGGTATCGATCTTCTAACCAAAGGTGATAATGTTTTAAATAAAACACTTTGTAGAGAGAAGAAAATCACTATAACAGGATGCCTTGAATTCTTTTAAAACAATGAAGGATGAAAATAAGAACAAATTACTTTTTATTAGAACACATCACTCTTTATTAACTACTAAATATTTATTTCCTAAATTACCTCAACTAATTCCTTTTTTTGTTTGTTTTTGTTTTTGTTTTTGTTATAGGGTACATGTGCTTGCAGGGGAGAGACAAAAAGAGGGAAACTGAGAAATCACCCCCAGTGACGATGGCCACACCTCAATCCCTTTTTCTCCATTCTCTTACCACGATTTTTGGCATGCATGCACATGCACCCGGTGCAATTTTCAAGATGCTCAGTCTGGGACTGGAACTGTGGTTGGCCATGTGAGAGTCTAGTGCCTTAAACATCGTGCCACCTATTGGCCCCAACCTCACTTAATTCTATAAATCACTCATATTGTCTCTTGCGATCTTTGTTTCTGCCTCTGTTGGCCCAAACATTAATTTTTAGCCAAATGATATTTAACTTTTGTAATCCTCCATATTCTCCTCTAGTCACCTAAATTAAAACAGATAACAACTTTTTTTATAGTTATGTAGTTATTCAAGTTAAATTGTAACATAGAGGGGCTGGCGGGTGGTGTGGTGGTTAAGGGTGCTGGACTGCCACATGGCCGATCCTGGTTTAATTCCTGGACAGGACAGCTTGCTTTCTTACTTTCCTTCTCTCTTTCTCTCCTCTCTCTCTCTCTCTCTCTCTCTCTCTCTCTCATTCTGTCTCTCTCTGGTCAAAATAAAATAAATAAATAAAGTTGAATAAAATCATTCTTTTTAAAAATGTAACTATAGAAAATCAATTGATTGTCAGAAAAGAATATTATGTACAAATGACTATTTAACCTCAGATGTCAATATTTTCCAGAATTGTCAGTTTTCCAAAACTTCTCAAAAATTTCCCAAATAACTATGTTCTACTCTCCTCTTTCAAGAAGAAACTATGCAAGACTACGATGATGGTGTAGTTCTACAGAAAAAAGCTTATCTCACCATACCCACTGAAATATAAACAGCAAAAATAATACATACCTGTGATACCTCAACTGCAACGTACTTCCCACAAGTGATTGGATTGTATTGGCTGACCATCTGCAAGTCATTTTAGTTAAGTACCCATCAGTTTCACATGATATATTGATATTGACATCTATTTAAAACACATTAAAATATTAATACGAAGCAAACACACCAAAGGAAAAAAAAAAGTTAATGAGAAAAGTTTTCCTTACATCTTGAAAATCCGTCATGAAAACTTTAACTTGTGGCACGAAATGAACCAAACCTCAGGTTCTTACCGATCACATAGAGCTCGGCATAGCGATGGTGGCATTCATCCTCGTTACAGCAGTACACTGCATCGTAGGCAAACTTTCCTCGAGGTTTCGTGGCGTTCAGATTGAGAAAAGTCACTTTGCTCACATGGCCGCTCACAGCATTATAATGATTCTGAGGAATCTTCTCAGCTAAATTCATCCACCAAACAATCTTTTTGGAGGAAACAATCTTGTTTTCATTCTTATAGATGCAGCGAAAAGAAACGTTAGACCCCACACTTGTCAGAATTTTAGGTGGAAAGTATATGACATCTGTAATGAGGGAAGACAGGTGAGATATCAGATAAAGACAGTAAAACAGGGAAGAATGAAGTCATTTTGCTGGGGAAGAGAGACATCTCACCAAATGGTGAACTGAAGGTTGCAAGCCGCAGGCCACTTAGTGGAGACAGGAGCTGTTGCCTTCTTCTCCCTTCGTAAAACTTCTTTCTTTCCCACTCAGCCTACCCTACACCACTATGTAACGATCTCCACGCAGGATATCTTTGAAATGTGATGTTGTTCATGCATTCCCTTCTGTATATTGTACACCTGTCATTATGACCTATTCACTGGGCCAGCAGGTGGCATGAAGGTTAAGGTATGGGACTTCCCCATGGCTAACCCCTGTTCAAGTGCTGTACCTGATGGTTTGCTTTGCTTTCTCATTTTCTCGCCTCTCTCTCTCTCCCTCACTGTCTCTCTTTTCCTCCCTTCCTCTCTCCCTCCCTCTTTCACTCTTCTCCCCCACTCTGGTGAGTGCATGTGCCCTATAGCAAATTTTTTAAAATAATAATAGTAAATAAAATTAAATAAATAATTCTTTCAAAAAAGAAGACTTATTAACCAATAAGATATAATTGAAATTAGAAGAGTCAGCCTTCCTTCCATAAACGAAAATTCCCAAGCTGACACGTCAACATCACATAAAGAGAAATGGAGGCATAGAAAAGTTAAGAAACGGCCAAAACGAATGATGATGTCAGGATTTCTATACACTTCTGTCAGACTCCAAAGTCAATGCTTTTAAACCCGTAGTGCTAAGTTAAATTGTAACATAGAGGGGCTGGCGGGTGGTGTGGTGGTTAAGGGTGCTGGACTGCCACATGGCCGATCCTGGTTTAATTCCTGGACAGGACAGCTTGCTTTCTTACTTTCCTTCTCTCTTTCTCTCCTCTCTCTCTCTCTCTCTCTCTCTCTCTCTCTCATTCTGTCTCTCTCTGGTCAAAATAAAATAAATAAATAAAGTTGAATAAAATCATTCTTTTTAAAAATGTAACTATAGAAAATCAATTGATTGTCAGAAAAGAATATTATGTACAAATGACTATTTAACCTCAGATGTCAATATTTTCCAGAATTGTCAGTTTTCCAAAACTTCTCAAAAATTTCCCAAATAACTATGTTCTACTCTCCTCTTTCAAGAAGAAACTATGCAAGACTACGATGATGGTGTAGTTCTACAGAAAAAAGCTTATCTCACCATACCCACTGAAATATAAACAGCAAAAATAATACATACCTGTGATACCTCAACTGCAACGTACTTCCCACAAGTGATTGGATTGTATTGGCTGACCATCTGCAAGTCATTTTAGTTAAGTACCCATCAGTTTCACATGATATATTGATATTGACATCTATTTAAAACACATTAAAATATTAATACGAAGCAAACACACCAAAGGAAAAAAAAAAGTTAATGAGAAAAGTTTTCCTTACATCTTGAAAATCCGTCATGAAAACTTTAACTTGTGGCACGAAATGAACCAAACCTCAGGTTCTTACCGATCACATAGAGCTCGGCATAGCGATGGTGGCATTCATCCTCGTTACAGCAGTACACTGCATCGTAGGCAAACTTTCCTCGAGGTTTCGTGGCGTTCAGATTGAGAAAAGTCACTTTGCTCACATGGCCGCTCACAGCATTATAATGATTCTGAGGAATCTTCTCAGCTAAATTCATCCACCAAACAATCTTTTTGGAGGAAACAATCTTGTTTTCATTCTTATAGATGCAGCGAAAAGAAACGTTAGACCCCACACTTGTCAGAATTTTAGGTGGAAAGTATATGACATCTGTAATGAGGGAAGACAGGTGAGATATCAGATAAAGACAGTAAAACAGGGAAGAATGAAGTCATTTTGCTGGGGAAGAGAGACATCTCACCAAATGGTGAACTGAAGGTTGCAAGCCGCAGGCCACTTAGTGGAGACAGGAGCTGTTGCCTTCTTCTCCCTTCGTAAAACTTCTTTCTTTCCCACTCAGCCTACCCTACACCACTATGTAACGATCTCCACGCAGGATATCTTTGAAATGTGATGTTGTTCATGCATTCCCTTCTGTATATTGTACACCTGTCATTATGACCTATTCACTGGGCCAGCAGGTGGCATGAAGGTTAAGGTATGGGACTTCCCCATGGCTAACCCCTGTTCAAGTGCTGTACCTGATGGTTTGCTTTGCTTTCTCATTTTCTCGCCTCTCTCTCTCTCCCTCACTGTCTCTCTTTTCCTCCCTTCCTCTCTCCCTCCCTCTTTCACTCTTCTCCCCCACTCTGGTGAGTGCATGTGCCCTATAGCAAATTTTTTAAAATAATAATAGTAAATAAAATTAAATAAATAATTCTTTCAAAAAAGAAGACTTATTAACCAATAAGATATAATTGAAATTAGAAGAGTCAGCCTTCCTTCCATAAACGAAAATTCCCAAGCTGACACGTCAACATCACATAAAGAGAAATGGAGGCATAGAAAAGTTAAGAAACGGCCAAAACGAATGATGATGTCAGGATTTCTATACACTTCTGTCAGACTCCAAAGTCAATGCTTTTAAACCCGTAGTGCTACTTGCTTTTCAGTGAATCAATGCTTTGTATATAGGAAGTAACTAATAACTAAACTTTTTGCCTTAAGTGGATCGAATATTTGCTTAGTGTTTTACATGGCACGTGCTCTCTCCATATCACCAAAATTGTGCCCTTTTGGCAGATCAGATAACCAGCTACAGAACCATTAAGTGTCTTCTTAATGCCACAACTTAGCACGCAGCAGAACGAGGGCTCTTTCATGGTTCCGGAGCCTTCGTCATCTTCACGAGGAGGGTGTGAACAAAGTTTTCTAATGTTAAAAGTGAATTTTAAAATATGAAACAATGACATTAAAAACTCTAAACAGCAAGCATTGGAAGTGAAAATTATTAATTATGTACTATAGAGTATTAAGATAAAATTTTAGTATTTGAAATGAATGTAAAATGAATACTTGGTATTCAAATGTAGCTAAGGAATTATCAATTCAAGTGGTGTTCTGAATCTGTTAACTTGGAACATTTCTATTAACTTTTTATTCCTTTTTATTTTTTTTTTCAAAAAATTGCTTTAGGTTGCATGCACTGCCAGACACACAGAGATAGAGAGATAGAGAGAGAGAGAGAGAGAGAGAGAGCACCACCTATGTGGATGGCCATGCCATAATCCCTTCTCGTCCATTCTCCTCTCAGAATTGTGGGCATGCATGCACATGAGCCGAGCATGTTTTTCAAGCCACCAGGTCTGGCACTCAAACTGTGCAGCCAGTCATGTGAGATCCAGCCACCTTAACCACCTGGTACCAGCTGGCCCACTTTTTAATTTTTTTAATAATAAGAAGAAAAATAGAGAGGCAAAACATGTACAGGACACAGAAATGGATTATTATCTGTTGATGATAGAGTGTATAGCATCCGCAACTGGACTGGTGTGAAATCTATTTATGTTAGAAAATTCATTTTACAGGCTAAGTGATATATAGTGACTGAATGTATCAAAGAAATTAAAATATATTAAAAAAAGAAAAATAATTCAATAAACTACTGCCATAAAAGCACATAAACCTGGGAGATTATACACAATTTTAATTAACAATTTATGACTGTTCAAAATTTAAACAAAAATTTAATACACAGTTCCCCCTTTTGTTTTAGGGCCACAAAAATGTAAGATGCTTATATCAAGGCAAATTCAGGAAATATATTGCTCTTTTCCTCTCAGTCAATGGTACTATTACAGAACCTACCTTGGGATCAGCAGTTAGCATAGTGGCTATGTCACTGGACTCCCATGTAGCCAACCTTGGTTCGAGTCCCGGACCTGGTGGCTTGAACTCATGCCAAGCGCATGTGCGTGCGTGCTCAAGGTCCTGAGAGGAGAATGGAAGAGAAGGGATTGTGGCGTGGCCACCTCCTCTGGGGGGTGATTTCTCACTTTCTGTCTCTCTGTCTCTCTCTGTCTTTCTGGAGAATGCACGCACCCTATAGCCCTATAGCAAAACCCTCTCTTTAAAAAAAGAAAGAAAAAGAAAAAAAAAGAACCTACCTTGTGTGGCAAAGATGTGGGGGGTACTCCAGTCACTCCAGATTCCTGGGCCATCCAGTCTCCTGGCCCTCACCTGAGCCACGTAGGAAGACCCAGGAAGCACACTGTCTACTAGCAGGGATGTTGCCGAGACAACCTCATTTGCCTGTTAAATATTGTTTTAACACATCAGAGCATCAAGTCAATGTGAAACCTTGACCACCCTTGATCATAAGCAGGTCTTAACAAATTTTAAGGACTTGGGTATCTTATAGAGTAGTCATCTGGTCACAGTGGAATTAAAACAGAAAGCAATAACCAAAACAACAAACGTTTTAATAAAATTTTAATGAAATTTCAAATGAGTTAAAAAAAATCACAAGGACAATTAGCAATTACTGTCAACTGGATGGTAATGAATATATGACCTTAGAATTTTGAGAAATGTAGCTAAAGGCAGTGGGAAGCTTTAAGCCACTCCTGCCATCGCTAGCACAAATCCAGGAGTAAATGACTTATCGTGTGGCCAGAGAACTCGTGTGCCTAGAGGGGAGCTGCACAAGAAGGAACTTGTAAATAATTTTAAGAACCTAACCTGATGATCATCTACAGTGCATGAATCAAAATAGGTTTATACTGTATGTCTGAGATCAAACCCTGCAATAAAATAACCACTAGTTAGGAACTGCTTATCAAATAAACTCAGTTTTCCAATCGTGTACTTCAAACTTACTAAGCTCTCTGGCCTCTTAAGCCTGTGGGGGAGTCACAGACTAAATATGATGAAAAGCATGAGGAATGTATGAAACAATACCAGATCAACTCTATTTGAAATCCTATTGTCTCCAGTATATAGATGAGAAAGAAGAACCCAACAGAAGCCTTAATCTGCTTTTCCTATAAAAAGCAGATTTCCATGTGACTGAGTGCAGTTCAAGACTCGGACCTGGTGGCTTAAAAATCACACCAGGCACATATGCATATGTGCCCCAAATTCCAGGACGAGAGTGGAGAAGGGATTGCAGCATGGCCACCTCCCCGGAGGGTGATTTGTCACTTTTCCTCTCACTGTTTCCCTCTCTCCTTCTCTCTCTTTCCCATGAGCACAAGTGCTACTATGGCAAAAACCATTTTTGAAAAAAATTTAGCTCAGATCTACAAGCACTGTTTTTTTTTTTAACCTCTAAATTATATAACAATTTCAGAAAGTACTTATGTGTTCCAAAAGCTCATTCATGAGTTTCTTGTCCCCCATAATCTCCACCTTCATCTACTACCACTATGGCTTTCAGCCACTCCCCTCAGCCACACGGGCTTCTGTACTACTGTTCTCTCTGTCTAGAACCCAGTTTCCCCAAATAGCTACAGCACCATCTCCTTCAAATCCTTTCTCAAATCTCAATCACACACTGAACTTAATACAGTCATGATTGTGTGTGTGCGTGTGTGCGTGCGTGTGTGCATGTGATACATAACATTGAATTATAACTCACTCTGCTCTAGAGGATGTATGCACATTGCCTACGCCACGGGTAATCTCGATGGAAGGTCTTCAGTTGCTTTTCAACTTTTCACTTCATTTGCTAAATTATACTTACTTCTTTTTTAAATGTTGTAGAATTCTCTGAATATTTCACTTGATATTGAAGTGGAAATGGTACCAGTATTGGACCAGACCAAGAAATCTTTAAATAACCATCATCTGTGATTTCCATATGCAAACCCAATGGTGGATCAGGCTTCACTTAAGAAAAAAAAAAGAGAGAATTATTTTAAGTCAGGCAATTTTTCATGACAATCAAAATCTGAATAAAATGAAGTCAAATGGGTTTTCAGCATTTTGTGACTTTATTCAAGGACTAAATACAGAACCAAAACAAAGCTAACCTATTAGGTCTATTCCTTGTGCCTTGTCGGAGCACACTTCATACCTTCATTTTCTTCCTCCAAAGGGTAAAGACTATACACTAGCAAATTTTTTTTTTTTTTGGAGAGATTTTCACTATAGGGCGCGTGCACTCACCAGACAGACAGAGAGAGACATAGAGACAGAAAACGAGAAATCACCCCCCCATGGGGGATGGTCACGCCACAATCCCTTCTCCTCCATTCTCCTCTCGGGATCTTGGGAACGCACGCACACGCGCCCGGCGTGAGTTTTAAGCCACCAGGTCCAGGAAACGAACCGCGGTCGACTACGTGGGAGTCCAGCGACATAGCTATTATGCTAACTGCTGGTTCCCTAAATGTTATTATTTTGATAAACGTGGTTTCCTGTTGTCAAAAGTCTGCCTAACCTTATTTAATCTAGAATTTCTCAGACTTACTGATGTCTTCCCTCAACTCTACCCACCCTGCTGGTTTTCACAGATAACAAGGGAAAAAAAAGTATTTTGTGCATTTTTCACATTCTGTATCTTCAGGAATTTTCCTCTTTTTCCTTTAGTTGAAATTAATAAAGTTTTACTTTACACTCCATATTACAAATTTTTTCTACTTTAGGAGAGGTTTTTTGTTGTTGTTGTTTTTTGTTGTTTTTGTTTTTTGTTTTTGTTTTTGTTTTTTGCTATAGGGCTTGTGCGCTCACCAGAAAGAGAGAGACAGAAAGACAGAAAGCGAGAAATCACCCCCCAGGGAGGATGGCCACACCGCAATCCCTTCTCCTCCATTCTCCTCTTGGGATCTTGGGCACGCACGCACACATGCCTGGAGTGAGTTTAAGCCACCAGGTCCAGGCCTCGAACCATAGTCGACTACATGGGAGTCCAGTGACATAGCCATTACACTAACTGCTGGTCCCAACAAATTTTAGCTACTTTAAAGCAGGGACAGCTGAACACTAGAGTCTGGAAGTAACAGGTGAGATTTACTTCTCCTCCATTCTCCTCTCAGGATCTTGGGCATGCATGCATACACACCCAGTGTGAGTTTAAGCCACCAGGTCCAGGACTCAAACTGCAGTCAACTACATGGTATTTCAGCGACATAGACATTACTCTAACTGCTGGTCCTAAGGTTTATTATCTGTTGACGAGGATGTGTATAGTGGTCTCAACTGGGCTGGACTGAGGTGTATATTATGCTGGGTAAAGTCTGTTCACAATCTAAATGATATATAGTGATTTAATGTATGAGTAATAATAAAATATATAAATAAAAAAATAAAATATAGTTAAAATATAAAAATATAAAAATGAAGACAAATTATTTGAAAGTTCTAAAGTTAGAACTGATCACATGTACAGATAATGGAAACATTAACACTGCTAAATTTTATATATATTTAACAGATGTATATAAAAATTAAATACTTAGACATTCGCCCATATTATTCATACATGTAATTGTATATTCAAGTTGATCAGATTTAACAGCCTGCTTTCGCCAGACATGCCCAATCTTGTCAAATCAAAAATGGTTTCTGTCTCAGCCTGATAATCTTTGTTTGAGATTTCTCATAGGAACTCCAAGGAGAAAAATGACCAACCTGGAGCTTGAAACAATAAAGAAAATTCTGCCCAAGCCCCAAACTGAAACTCCTGCCTTGGAGATAAATCACTAGATTTTTCCCCTCAATTAAAACTGAAACTCCTGTCTGGAAGACAAATCCCTCAGTGGTACTCCCCTCAACCCCAGCTAATATTTGACCTGACAGATACTTTTACTTAGATAGATATTAGCCCCATAGTATCTCTCTTCTCCTATAAAAGCCTCTGTAAGCAGGCCAACCAGTCAAAGATAGTCTAATACGTCTTCCTGGTGTGGCCACCATGTGATAACTTCTCCTTTGCTCTCGCATCAAGAATTTTGCCTCTCTGTGGACCAGCAGTTAGCGTAATGGCTATGTCGCTGGACTCCCACGTAATCGACCGCAGTTCGAGTCCCAGACCTGGCGGCTTAAATTCACGCCGGGCACGTGTGCATGTTTACCCAAGATCCCGAGAAGAGAATGGAAGAGGAGGGATTGCAGCATGGCCGTCCCCCTGGGGGGTGATTTCTTGCTTTCTGTCTCTATGTCTCTGTCTTTCTGGTGAACCCATGCACCCTGTAGCAAAATCCTCTCCAAAAGAAAATAGAGTTCACGTTCATCTCAAAAAAAAAAAAAAAAAGAATTTTGCCGCTCTGTTTTGTTGAGTGGCGATGGTTCATATCTATTTTGGATTCCTGGACTGAAGAATATGGCCCCTCAGCCAGCAACAAAAAGACTTTCAGGAGATCTTAGCACTAAGAAAATGTGATGTTGCCTATTACATGAGTTTTTCTTATAATTCAATTTATATAATAACTTATTTGTTTATCATTTTACCAACTGTCTCTGCCCACTATTTTTCCCCTGCTATGTGGTAGAAACTTTGATTTCTTTCCCACTGTTTCCTTAGCGCCTAGAATAGTCCCTGATACATGAGGCTCTAAAAAACATATTTATTGAAGGAATACATTCAGGTAAGAGAGATGTTTCTAGTTACTTTAAAAAACATTTTATCTGAGCTATGAAAAAGTGATGACAATTCATAGCCATTAGATAGGTCCAGGAATTAAGGAAATCAAACTGTTTCCAAAACCAAATTTAACTGACAAGTACAGAAATATAATTTACTGCCACGCAGAAATGTGAATAACTACTGTTAAATCATTCTAGAAGGTGTTCTTAATACCCCCAGCACTATATATACCATCATTACAGCACTGGTCAAAGGGGATATAAACTAGTGAAAAACCTTGGAAGCAGTTTTTAACCAGTTTTTATGGCTAATGCCAGTATGTATTATCATTTTATGCACAACTTACCGACATCTATGGGCTGAACTGACATCAGAGGCGACTGGAAAAGTATTCCACCAGATGTGATTTTCAAATACATAAGAAGAGTGTAGTTGAGTTTGGATGTTGGCACGGGCACATGGCATTCACAACATTCATGAGCACTGCAGATGCACTGAACAACCTGAAAACTGTCTTCCTGGGGGACCAGAGATGAATCTTCTAAGGCTTCAGGCCTAGATTTAAAGAGCTAAATATTAGCACAGATCTGAAAGTACCAGACAGATGGTAAAAGTAGGGTACTAAATCCAGATTTAAAATTGAGATAACCAGATAATTCTGGATGCCCATTTTAAAGGGTATATGGAAAAGAAGATACAACGATTTAACAAAAACAAGGATAAGGATTATAGCATGTTAATAGGCAGAAATACATAAGGAAGAAGATAGTGAAGCCAATGGTAAGCTCAAAAGGAAGGAAAAAGTGTAATTCTAAAATCCTATACCCAATGAAAATATCTTTCAAAATAAATACAAAATGAAGTTGTTTTGCAGACGTACCAGAATTTTAAAAATCCATCATAACCAGACAGACATGTTGATTCTTTTAAAATTTATCTATAAAGTCCCTGTAATGCCTGTCAAAATCTCAGAAGCCTATTTTATATAAATTGACAAAATTATCTAAAATTCATATGGAAATGTTAAAGGATCTAGAATAACCAAAGCAACTTTGAAAATGAGGAACTTATTTTGAGGAATCACAATAACGAACTTCAAGATTTATTATAAAGCTACAATAATTAGGCCAATGAAGTACAAAAAATAGATACATGAAAGAGAATAGAGTCCAGAAATAGACTAAAACTTATATAGATAACTTCTTTTTTTTTTTTTTCTTTTTGAATTGCCAGAGAGCGATGGGGTAAGGAATGGGGAGTGAGAAAGCACCCTCCCTCTGGGCATGGTCACTGCTGCCAATCTAGTTTGCTCCATTTCTTCCTCCTGTTGAGATTTTGGGTATGCACACACAAGTGCCCAGAGTGTTTTTCAAGCTGCCAGGTTGAGAACTTTAACCACGTGGTCAGGAACGATTTATTTTCTACAAAGTAAAAACACAATTTTGTGGGACCAACAGATGGCATGGTTACATAACTGGACTCCTACATATTCAACTATGGTTCGAGTCTTGAACTTGGCAGCCTGAAACTCACACCAGCCACATGTGCGTGTGTGCCCAAAATCCCAAGGGGAGAATGGAGGAGAAGGGATTGTGGTATGGCCATCCCCCGTGGGTGGGGGGTGATTTCTTGCTTTCTGTCTCTCTGTCTCTCCAGCAAGTGTATGTACCGTATAGCAAAACAAAAAACAACACTCTTGTCAATTAACTGCATTTGGAGTAATGGGATATCTATATGGAATTTAGAAAGAACCTAAATCAATGTCTCACATCAAATACAAAAATTAATTCCAAATATATCCTAAATCTACATGTAAAAGCTAAAGCTATGAAACTTCTAGAAGAACAAATGAGAAAACAACTTTCTGATCTTAGGGTAGTTAAAAATGTTAGCTACATGAGGACACATGATGGCACAGCAGTGAGACATGACACTGTGAGGCTGACCCACATAGGAAAGCTGCAGGTTTGGGTCCAGAGACCTCCCTAAGAATGCCAGGGATGTGGGCTTGTGATCAGGAGCTGGCTGAGGATAGCAGGAGATCCCAACATTGAGACCTTTCTCTCTCTCTCTCTCTCTCTCTCTCTCTCATCTCTATCTAGTTTTTACTCCTCCTCTTCCCATCTTTACCTCAAGAAAGAAATACACTTCAAAAAAAAAAAGTTTTTAGATAAAGCTAAAAGCATGATCCATAAAGGAACAACTCAATAAATTAGATTTCATCAAAAGTGAAAAATTTGTTCTTCAAAAGCTGCTATAAAAAATAAAAAGCCAAGCCATAGACTGAGAGACTCTATTGGGACATCAGGAAAGTCATGATGCATTTTGCATAGAAAAACAGAAAAATACATCATAACTTTCCTGACAACCTAATATTTGCCAGTCATCTATCTGATAAAAGATTTGTATCCACAGATATGTACAACTTTCAAAACTAAAAAAAAAAAAAAAAAATCTATAACGACAAAACTTCAATAGTCACTTCACCATAGAATGGCAAATGAACCCATGAAAATATACTTAACATCATTCAAGAAGCACAATGAAATTAAACCACAGCAAGATATTCACTATCCATATATTAGAATTGCTAAAATAAAAAACGACTAACCATACCAAGTACTGATGGGGATGTAGAGAATCTAGAACTCTGATTCACTGCTGGCAGGAATATAAAATGTGACAACTTGGAACAATCACACGATGTACTCATTTCACTCCCAGGTATTCATCCAAGAGAAATAAGAGCATATGTTGCTTCCGAGACCTTTCACAACTTTATTTGTAATAGCCAAAACTGTAACCATTCAAAGTTCTATCAATAGGTGAATCTTTCTCTCTCTCTCTCTCTCTCCCTCTCTTTCTCTCTCTCCTTCCCTCATTCACTGTCCTAAAAAAAAAAAAATGGGAAGCAACGTTTACAGAGTTTTCTCTTGGTGCTGTAAAAGTGATATCATAAAAAGCACACTAAATTTACACTGAAACTCGAAATCAAGTTACTTCTGTGTTCTTAATGCCCATAAGATTATAGACAAGTAAATTCATGTTTGTGAGCCTCGACTTCCTTAATCTGTGAGACCGAGAATATACCTGTACTATGTATCTGCGACTATCAAAGACAATAATTACATAAAAGTACTTCTGAAAACTTTGAAGTGCTATATGCCTATATTGTTTTGAATTGGAGGTAGAATGACTCGGTGCCTTCAATTTTATCTTTAACCAAAGTCAATGAAATGCCATTTTTAAAGATCTCAAGACAGATCTTTTGCATGTTTTTCAAATATTAAAACAAAAGCTTTTACAAAAAGGGTGTGAACAAATTGAATAAATTGTGTTATTTTATGTCAGAAACACATTTGCAAAGTACTATGCTTTGACAGATAAAGTCCCAGATTTTAAAGGAAAACTAGAACTGATCACAGAATGAGATATCTTTTCCACTAATAGTTTTTAAAGGATAGGAAAATGTAGTCATATTTTTCCTTTTTAAGACAAAAGAAAAGTAAGAATCCTATCATCTTCTTTAGATGGTCTTGTCAGTGTCATCCTTTTCGAAATACAGTGGAAATTTAAAGAAAAGGGCTGATTACCAATGGGTTTAATCCGCGGCTTCTCTAACTCCACAGTTGTGCTTTCTACTCATTCCATCTCATTTTCGCTTTATTAAGTAATTTTAATATTTAACAAAAATCTTGTAGGGATCAGCAGTTAGCGTAATGGCTATGTCGCTGGACTCCCACGTAGTCGACTGCGGTTCACGTCCCAGACCCGGTGGCTTAAAACTCACGCCGGGCGTGTGTGCGTGCGTGCCCAAGATCCCAAGATGAGAATGGAGGAGAAGGGATTGCGGCGTGGCCATCCCCCGTGGGGGGTGATTTCTTGCTTTCTGTCTCTCTGTCTGTCTGGCGAGCACACGTGCCCTATAGCGAAAACCTCTCCAAAATAAATAAACAAATAAAAATAATGTAGAGTATCTATCCCTAATATTAACCGTGTATTATATAGTTTCTAAACTATAAAATATGTATCATGCTAATTCATAATTTCAGAAGACAAAGCAACTCCTTTTCAGAAATTTCCCAAACCACCTGAACAGATAATCCCATCATGAAACTGTAAGAGTCAATCTAATACTAATTTCCAAATGTTCTAAACTGGTAATCAGCAAACTACAGCCCACACACAAAAACAGGGGCGAGGGGGCTGGTCAATTCTGACTTTCTGGTTGTGTACAGCCTGAGAACTAAGAAGGGTTTTATTACATTTTTGAAATGGTTAAAAAAAAAAAGTTTCATGAAACATGGAAATTATAAAACTTCAGTGCCCATGAACATAATCACTCTCTTTCATTTACATATTAACTATAGCCTATAACATACTAACAAAGACAGAGTTGAATGGTGGTTACATTTTGAAATGGTTAAAAAAAAAGTTTCATGAAACATGGAAATTATAAAACTTCAGTGCCCATGAACATAATCACTCTCTTTCATTTACATATTAACTAGAGCCTGTTACATACTAACAAAGACAGAGTTGAATGGTGGTATCAGAGACCATACGATCCATAAAACCCAAAATATTTACAAATTAGTCCCTTAAGAAAAATTTGCTCTCTCCAGGTATAAGCCAAAAATAGTTTGACTATCTACTAATGGGAATCTGATGAGCAAAGGCTGTTAAAATAGAGAAGTCACATTAAATACATCATCAAATTGCATTATTATAATTTAATGAAACATTTTTAGGAACATTATCTAAACCAATTTTTCAAATCCTCTTAGGAAGGAATTAACATTTCTTCTGCAAGTAAGGAAACAGATCCAGAGAGACTGCAGACCTAGAACGGAAGTGACGTCTTGTACTTCCATGGTCAGTATTCGTTTCCTTACCTTCCACATGCCTTATTATCACAAGATAAATTTCACTATTACTTTGGCCATTTTATTTAGAGATTAATAAAGATGTCAGCGACCACAAGTAAAAGATAATTAGAATCGAAATCATGATATTTCTGTGAATCAGATTCTAGAGAATTATATCATTGTATGATTTTTTTTAATTATTTTTCCTCAGAGGGAAAAAAAATGAGATATTTCTTATATGTATGAAAGAAGTTTGTCCACACTTGTGTGAGACCCGGAATCCAGCAGCCTTTTTAACAGGTCAAAGTCTACGTAAGAATTTATCTTCCCTGGTCAGGGAGTGGCGTGGTGGTTAAATCAGCTGAATCCCGCATGGCACACTGCACGGTTTAAGTCCTGGCCCCAGAAACCTGAAAAACACACTGGGTGCATGTGTGTGTGCCCAAAATTCCAACAGGAGGAAGAAATGGAGAGGGCATGATGGCATGACTGTGCCTCACAGGGGGAGTTTTCTTAATTTCCCTTTCTTGTTCTCTGTCTCTGGTGAGTGCATGTACCCTTTGACAAATTTTCAAAATAATAATTTACCTTCCAAAGAACTGATTGTTTTAAGTCTTTTTGTGTAACAAATAGCACTCTAAATATTTTGATAATTTTAAAGCATAAGGATAAAATAATCAAAATTTT